CACCCGGCCATATCTTTCGGTGTCTCTAACCATCGGTGACCATCATCTCGGGGTCCCCGACCAGGAAGCCTAATGGGACCTATGTGACCCAGTGTCCTGGTTAGGGTTTTCATACTCTCATACCAATTCTTCGTTTGATCGCCCTTGACCTTTTTCCATCCACTACCTGCCTCGGCGAACATCGCTCGCCGTGGCAACCTATCTGGCGACATGCGTAACACATGTCCCAACCAACGTAATTTGTGCAGGTCGATCACGTGCTCCATTGGATGACCGCGATTACCTGAAACTCAACGTTTAACCTCGGCATTGCTCGTCCGGCTACCCCACCAGATTCGTGCAATGCTGCGTAGACAGCGGTGTTCGAACACACCTGATCTATTTTTATCCTGTTCTCGGCCAAGTCTCTGTACCGTACAGCAGAACTGGTCAACTCTTGACAGAAAACCGGATGTCGTGCCGATGTCACAAATGCATCAAATTGGCAAATGCCGGGCCCGGGACGATACCTTCTGTCAAAAGCCACACTGAGAAGAAGTGGACTGCCCTTCTCGACAAGGTCATGTATGGTTTACAGACAATCAACCGCGGCATATGTATATATAGTTGTATGTTCCGATCAGAGAGAAGACTCGACGGATTCGGATGAAATTATATTGGTGCAAAACGTAGCAACACTATGAGAATATGAGATGGTTACAATAGAAAATGGTAATGGTACGTGTGGGTGCTGCTTTGGTCTTCGTTATCAGTGTGCTCTGCGTCCCACAACTTATACAGCCTGTAAAAGGAAAGAGTGGTTGTCAACGATAGTTCGACATTCAATTACTGTGCATCGACCGGTGAATAAGAGCACACGTTTCCGCTTCAGTTTTTACAGCCATTCATCATACATTTTCAGGCGCCGGCTTTGGTTTTCTGTCTTTTGCGTCGGTACTTGTTCGTCGTATCGCGGTATGCACCGACCGATTGCAGTACACCTGAAATCAAGGATCAATTTTACAAGCATCTCTCCCAACCGCTCCGAAGTACTCGACCAACGGACATCGTGGTAGCCGCTGGAGACTTCAGCGCTCAAGTAGGTTCCCTGGATGAATCAGAAAGGCTTCTTGGCGGAACGCATGCAAAATCAGTCAACCGGACGGACAACGAAGATCGCCTATTTCAATTCTGCACGGACCACGGATTGTTCCTGTCAAACACGAACTTCTCGCACAAGAAACGCCATCGACTTACATGGAAACTGTCAATCTCTTCACTGCGCTGAACCCAAATCGACCACATTGCCATCAGTTACCGCTGGAGGGGATCGATTCAAGATTACCGTTCTTAGTTTAGTGGTCAGCACCTGTGGATACCGATCACGCTTTGCTACGAGCCAGACTCTCCTTACGCCTGGCAAACAACCGCAGGAAAGCCATTGACTGACAACGGATACCCACGATACAGCGTCAATGATTGCTGCCAATCAGCCTTCCAAACGGAACTCTCTCATCGTCTATCAGTTCAATCTCCAGCCGAATTACTCGATGAACAGTGGAAGAAAATCAAAGAAGCTATACAAATATCGATCAAAACAACGTTGGACCTTGCCGCAAGCGCAAAACACAAACGATGGATCTCATCGACCTCGGCTGCCTTGCTGGATACCCACTGAACCCTCCCTCCGGATGCCACATATGACACAGCGCGTAAAGCCCTCAAACGCCATCTTATCAAGAATCTGAGGAATGATCGCGAGAAGTGGTGGATAGGAAGGTGTAAAGAGATGGAGAAAGCTGCGATGATTCGTAATAGTAGCAAGCTTTTCCGACTTAGGAATACGGGCCTTAGGAAAATAGGCGTAATTGAGGTAATTAAGGAATGCAATGGCACACTGATTCACGATCAGCAACGCCGTCTCGACCGTTAGGCTGAACACTTCAAGGCTCAGTTCAACTGGCCCCCGTCGACGTCTAAACTATCATCCTCCTCTTTGACTGGGGAAATACTCAGTTGATTCCAGTCCTTCATGTGAAATGGAGGTTTCCCGGGAAATAAGTTATCTAAAAAGGCATAAAGACTCTAGCCCAGACGGGCTGTTCTCATCGGCCTTTATGGATGGAGGTTCAGCCTTAGTGTGGGAGAAGAAAAAGGTACCAGCTGAATAGTGTGAATCGGTGATCACACCGATGTACAAGAAAGGTGATAGATCCTCTTGCGAAAACCACAGGGATTAGTTTAATCAATATTGCTTCTAAACTTCTCGCTGGGATCATACTGCTTCGATTATCTGGCGCACGTGAGCGGTGCACGAGTGAGAACTAGGCTGGCTTTAGACCTGGTCTTCACTCTTCGCCAAACTTTGAATCACCGACATTCCTTTCCTATACCCACCATCTCTGTCTTCCCAGGTCTGAAAGCGGATTTTGACTCAGTCGACCGTTCTAAACTCTGGCACTGCGTTTCTCTGAAAGATCTGACCGAGAAGTTAATTTCAATATTACGATCCCTCTATACTCATAGACTAAGCCTAGTTCGAGCTTACGGCACGTTTTTACATGAGTTCACCACGGAAAGTGTTCTTATAGATTTGATTATCGAACCAGTCCTATCCTCGTGCGAGGATAGTGGCATCGATCTACTCCCAGGTGGCAGGCTGTCTTATCTAGAGTATGCAGACGAAATCATATTGGTAAATGAAGATCCAGGTAGGTTACAAGCCTTGCTGGATAGTTTGAGTGCTAGTGCAACCAGGTTCGATATGCACTTTCAAATTGTAAAATGTTACTTCGAGACTGG